ATCAATTCAGTCATTTCGAACCATGGGTCAATGGGCTATATCGCATCAGTAATGCTGGTGGCCAAAGTACTATGATTGACCATTTTTTGCATAAAAATTCCTGCCATCTCAACTACTCCTCTCTTTTTCAAATATATTTTCAAGTATCCCACTTTTACAGGGTTCCAAGTACCTTCAGCATTCTATCTGAGATCGGAATCCTTAAGAACAAGAATCCCTTAAACTTTAAGATGATGTCCTAGTTGGCTCTCATGTATTGTTTAGGCATAACATCTAAAAATGACCCAACACACTTCCCCACTACAAACGGTGATTGAGTCTGTTCAAATTGTTTAATGTAATCAAAGAACTGCGGCGCAGAAGGCAGCTAGTAAACGACCCTGAGTTACAAAAAAGACAGTTTTGAAATGACCACTTCACCTGCTTACACGTTTGAATTACTTCTACATCCAAAGGTATGAATAAATCACTAGCAACCAGACAGTAAATTTGCCATAGACCGACTGTGGGGACCTTATCAATGAACTCATTCATCCAAAAGCCAACATATGATAACGTCTTTTAGCAAACGTGACGCTTATGTTGGCTGCACTGTCTATCCTTCACCGATTGGGCCGGCGTACTACCTTGGAACGACAAAGATATTCGAGTCGATCATTGCCAAGTTAAGACAAATCCGAATTTTTATCAAGAAATGTGACAAAAAACAGATAATGAGAAAGGGCTCACAAACACGGGGACCGTAGATGCCATGGTGATAGGGATTTGATGGTCACGGATCCAAGAAGACACAAGTCCCATCCAAAGCAAGGAATTTTAAGATAAGCTATGAAATTACAAAACCTGCTGCTTTTAAGACGAATACTCGTGTCAACTCACCCTCTAATAAATGATGGACATCTTTATTTACAAATTCTGAATCTAAACTCTCGTGTAGGTGTTCGATTTCCACTTGACGTATCTACAGTCCCGCAGAAAGTGTCTCCAGTTAAGCACTGGGAAAGGTAGGCTTGCAGAGGTAGAAGTTAGAAACAGCTCCGTCAACAGAATGAGCCTTTTCAGTGGGATCCTGGACCGTGGGCTTTGTTGCATCATTGACCTCTTCCTCCGACTCAGGCAGGGACTCCGCTAACAGAGCAGAGACATACGGTCTACTCGAGGGCTGGGGCAACAAAACTAGAAAAGTAGGGAGGGGGTACAACACGAGGAAGTCAGTTGAACGGATCGACTAGGGTAATGGGTAAAAACAGAGATTTGCTTGACAGAATCAATTTTGACGTACGCAATGTTGCGTGGTTCACGAAGCACAGAAAAATAATAACGCAAAGCCACTATAGGAAGATGAGTATCTGTTGATGAAATTAAAGTCTAAGTCATAAACAATATGAAGTAGTGATATTCAAGAGCAAGATTTCGCTATTGAGCAGCAGAACCAAATGAGAAGAGGAGTTGGGAGTTGAATGCTGCACTGAAGTAGCAAAAAGTTGTTGAAGAGTATGCTTGATTGTTTGCTAATGGGCGCCTAAGGGAGATGGGAAGCGATGTATGATCAAATGAGTAAATCAAAGGCAAGCTCTGCTCTACCGAAATTCAGATCTGACTGGTTCTTGCACAGGCAGACCTCTAAGAAAAATGTGAGCAGCAGAAAAGTTGAAAACGCTCAAACGATACCCTAAATTAATTGTGCTTCTGAAGATTCTTCTACAAGAACTAGTCGAATTGAGAAGCAAACTATTAGTTTCAAAAATAGAGCAGGTGAATGACGAAAAACAAACGCCAAATTACGTCGAAATGGAAGAGAAAGTGTTATATCTAATAAAAAGGATAACTCTTGACCAAAATATTTTTATCACATCACCGCATCAAAATGCAGTGAGAAAATAAAAAACATGGAACGTTGCCATTGGAGATCGAAGATACCCAACAGCAGGCAGACGACCTGATCAGAACGATTCTTATCACTAATGCGTAAATACTAGCTACAACAATCCACCTAACCGAAATAATGGCAAAAATGCGGTGTTCAGCTTACAACAAATGAAACAGTAATAAGTTCGAGGACCAACATGACCCGAGTTCCTCTCGTCACTATCCAGCCCAGATATTTCATCAGAATCATAAGGCCCCAATTCAATGAAATCCTGTTCATTTGCGTTTAGCCTAACGCACAAAAGACAAATTTGTAGCCTAGATAAGACCAGGAAGATATGCATATGTGGTAAGGATGGAGAATATCCAAAGAAGACTATTACCAATGCCTTAATCGGACCACTTACTGGGGAAGGATTCGCGATCTCCTGGAAATAAATGATCCACCGATTGTCCAAGAGAGACGTAAGATGTTAGCGAGAGTTGCATCTGTCTGCGCTGATCAATCACTTGCCTTCGCAGACTGGCCAAGTTCTGAGCCGGTGGAGGTCGCGTAACCTTGGAATCCAGATAAGTGTGCGGTTCGGGTAAGGGTGGAAGGAGAAGATGCGCAGGAGCCTTGGGAGCGGTCTGAGGTGCTGCTATGACTGCTGCTGCGCCACCTGCGGCAGGCAGAGATGCTGCACCGGATCCCACAGATTTGACGGCGTCGGTGCGAAGACTGACAGTACAGGGAATGATCGGCGCTCCACTTGGACCAATCACAGCCTTACAGACTACGCCTCGGGCTGGGTCACCTAGAGCCGTGGCTTTAAATAAGAAATACAAAAGATAAATAATCGATTCAACAAGCATCATCCTGCTAAAGTGACAAATGGAAAGCTGTATCGGAAGGCAAATCACTTGGAGGAAAGGCAACTGTGAACGAAAAGTGCGGTTGCATGCGCTAGCATTGTCTCTCAAGAGCCAGAGAAAAACAAACGCTTTGACCTCCTACAAGAATAAATTTGGAAGGAAATACTCTGTGTCGTAGAAATCAGGGAAACACAAAGTATACTGCAAGGCAGAGATAAGTTGCAATCACATTTGAAAGAGCGATTGATTTGGATAACAGCTCTAACTAAATAAATTCGATTGACGCACAAAATATTTATAATTTGAATGGGTTACGTCAAACGCCTATCTCAGGATGCCAATATACACATTAAGAGATCGGTGCTTATATCACTTTGTTGCCATCGAAATAAGGCCATCATGAAATAAAACTTACGACCATTGAATCCGGGCAGCGGATAATGCCTGCTTTGCTCAAATATTCGAGAAAGCTCAAAGCCGAAATCAACAAATGCCAGTACCAAATCATTCAAAACAATCTTTGTCCGACTCGCAGCTTCGGCATAGCCAAGACTTTTTGTAGCTAGAGACTCAAAAACTATGGATTAAAAAGCAAAAATGCTGTATAGATAAAATCAATACAGACATCTTAACTGCATAAACGGCATGGCAACCCACATGATATCAGCAAGTTTGTCAGCAATGGGAGACATGGTTGCTCGATGTATTGAAATCCACATTGACGAGACACAAAACCAACTAGAGATTCAAGTATATCAACGAACCCGTGGGGCACATCCGAATGCACAACGGGACGCGATGGGTTTCCAGACATCATAAGGAAATCAGGATCAAGGCAGCAAGAACGCTACAAGTCAAGGCCAAAAGTTGAGTGCGAAAATTTCCATGGTAGATTATGTACAATCTATTTTTTTAAGAACTAATTAAAAGCTCTTTGCAAAAAAATAATTTTGACACTTATACACACTCAAGGTGATCTCGATTTTGTGTTTGAGGTGGTAAGTAGTTTTGCGATATGCGCAAGGTGACTGACTCTCAGGCTCAAGAGTCTCGCTGTTTTTTTCAATTGATTAGTAGCACAGAATTGTCACAATTTACAACCGTAGATCACCGGTTTCTTGTTGCGATGTTCAATTTTAGTTGATTCTACTTGCAGAATAACAAGGGAAACGAGGTGCCATCTCCTGTCCATCGGCAAATTGACATACTTTACCAACAAGCGTATAGCTGCGTCTATCCTCCTTTAGGCGCATCAACCAATTTGGAGCTTCATATTAGCCACTTCATTTGCCGTCGTTGTGTTAATCAAATGCTCTACCTAGCTAAGAAATCACGTGTGCGTCTGTCGCCGGTTATGCGGCGGTCAATCTGTCGAGGCTGCCATCTCATACTTGACTCCCGCACGACATGTCGTCTTCGGTTCCATAAG